GTGCCTTTCCAACTCGCTTCCGCTTCTCATCTCTGCCTTCCTCCTGAAGGGTCAAGCTTCCCGCCGGTGTACATCTCGCTGCTGTCACCTGTTCTCCCCAGGCGATCTAGCTCTCAGGCCCCATCGGGCCGGACTGAAGTCAATTAAATKAAAAATAAATAAATAAATAAACATCACCACCAATACAGGTGTTGTGAATTGTCCCTCGAATGGTATTAACGGTTCATCGACTGTATGTGTGTGTGTGTAACCTTTCTTCCCTATCATTTTCACTGAATACTGTTTCATACTTTTGTCCTCTTGATTGGGTRAGCGTCCTCCCTCCCTTTGAGACAGAAAATGTGGTTTGCTGACGTGGAGAGGCCAGCACTGACTTGCACAAGTACCTCTTCATTCTCATGTCCCGGTTGGCACAGCGTCTGATGCTTCTCTACGAGCTTGGAGAACTCYTATTGTTTGGGTTGTGACGATGAAGAATTAAGAGCGAAGTGTCCGACTGTTTGATGATTGGCGTGCCCTCTCTGTGTCCCTCGGATCATCCATGTTTTGAGTCTCTCTCTCTCTCTCTCTCTCTCTCTCTCTCTCTCTCTCTCTCTCTTTTTGTGGATCAGACGAGCAGGAGAGATATCCTGTTCACTACAGTGTTGGAACAAGAATGAAACTTCAGATACAACACGGGAGAATACACGGCCAGGTTTCTTGTCTTCGGTAACCTTTTCTTGTTTTGCCTGAGCGTAGATGGAACGCGCGTCCTCATGCACCCATATTCCCATGAGTTGTCCGTCACGGTGGCTCTTGATAGGCTTTTCCCTGTTGCTCCTCGGACACATGCGTGACTGTTTACCTCCTTATTAGCGCAGAGGAGAGATCCTCATTCTCCCTCAGTCAATGCACATYAGGTAAGTRWTTGGTYCGTTAGCAAGCRTCCATTGAGCCCAAGGGTGGCCAGACTCCAACCCTGSACCSTGGTTCGTCCGTGGTGTGTTCTTAGGAGCGAGCGYGCTYGTTGCTGTAAGTGCAACARTGGCAAGATCCGGTTACAGGCAAACARTYMTGGTAGARACAGCTGGTATAGCCACTTCCGCTGCTTACCTCTGTCTCTCTCACACACACTCATACTCACACGACCCCTCTCACTCTCTCTCCTCTCTGTTGCACCTTGCACACCCTCTCTTTCTCCCTSTTTCCAGTTTCTTCTCTCTGCCTGCAGTCCCTCTCTCTCACTGCGCAGTCAGTYTTTCTCACTCCCACTRCACACTCTTTCTCTCTCTCACCCGCTCTTCATACATCAATAATGATCAGAAAYGAGTCCAGATTAGAATGCTTTGCRCWTGCAGCGAGCCTACATCTCAACAGGATTATTTACCAGAGTAATCATGGGTGAACCTCAGCAAGATCATGGGCAGATCCCTRCCCTGCTCTGGTGCTCCACCCAAATGAGAASAATGTGGGTGCACGTGCATCTAGAACACAACWTAATCAAGGAAAYGGGATTGGACCTGCGTGTGGAGAAATAACAATATAATATAATTAAAATAGAAAGAAATACAGCGCTTCACTCTCGTTTTTGGCGCGGCACTCAAATCAGGGAAAGAATATCGAGAGGTACAGCGACATACTCTCTCATTCTGTGAGCGGTTTCTCCCCTTCTATCCCATTGTTATCGACACRAATCTGGCACACGCTGTTGACTGGATCCATAAGAAGTTTCCCTACAAATTTGTGTGTGGTTCAGCCGTTGAGCCCAAGCCATATTCATTCCATCCCATGGCTTCATCAAGTACGAGTGTGAAACCCCATCTCCTGCCACTTTTTCACTGACCTTTCATTGCTCTTTCACACACTAATTACACGGCTGCCTCTTGTACTGCACTCACTCGCTTTCTAGCAGTACACTCACACTTCCACTCTCTTTCACTCATTCTCTCTCACACACTTTATCTCTCACACACACAGCGCATTTCATCTCCCTAAAACAGTGCACTCACTTCCCCTCACCGACTCTCTCACTCTATCTCTCTCACTAACTCTCTCAACTCTTTCTCCAATCTGCATGCAGTCTCCCCTTACTGGAGTGTTGACGTCACTCACGCGCCGTAACTGTCATTATGCCACCAGCAGCAGCTCACGAACGGTCACGGGGTCCAACGAAATCGTACGCTGCATCACCTCTGGTCACTGCCCTCTTCATTGTGCTCGCTCACCCATAGTTGTCGTGCCATCAACAGCACCTAATGGGCGAGCATGGGGTCGAATGGACTCGATCGCTGCGTTCGCCCCGGTTCCCTCCCCAAGCGCTGCGTTCATTCTCCAACAAGCCGCGTTCATTCTGGTYGCCCGCCCTAGCTCGCCCAGTTCGCCCTGGTTTCCCCCTGCCGAATGTCCTGTGCCCTTCTGCCACTCTTCCTATATTGGTTTCGGGTCGCGACACCAGCCCTGCGCACAGCCGAAAACTGGCACTGAAGGTACCAAACCTTCAAACTTGCCAAGCAGACCCGCGGTTCCCTTGACTGGTCCGAGGTTTAAACCAGCAGGCCCGATCCAGGACCCGCGGGGGTGAAATAAGTACCGCCCACAGTAGAGTAGCTCTTGAATAATACCTTGGGAGCTGGCCTCCCCAAATAACACCAGCGCGCCRGAGCAGGCCAAGTGYAGTCCGAACTTGTAGGTCSWCCGTATCTGGAGCAGAATATGTCAAAGCCCCGAAGTTATTATTTTCGATAGCCGCTGCCTGTCCCAGTCCATTGYCGGGTCTCACGCGGTGGTACCATACAATACCAATTCCGTGCTCCKCACCAATGTAAGAATCGCTGATAAACAAGGACTGCGTCCTCTGCAACGTACCAGCATAACCAGATCAGAGGACACCATGTTGTACCAACACCGCGGATGAGCCGAACCAGTATCCCGTGAGCCATACCAGATCAGCGCAGCATACCAACCRTACTGAAGACGTGCCATTGTACCRTACCACACGAATGCCAAATTGTCACCGTGCACGTGCTGACCCCGTCTCGAATCAGCGTAACATCATACTGTGTCGTGAATGAACCATACCAAATGTAACAGAACCGCGTAACACATGTCGTAGCCCAATCATGTCGTCGTGACCAGAGAATGRTGCCAAATAYGTGCCACGCGAGTACCACCAAGGCCTGTGCCATACCTGCCCCGAACCAAAGTGCCATGTCGGAGTCGATCCAGTGTCCATACCGAAGTGATAAAGTCAAGCGGCACAACCAAAATAGCACCAGCAGTAATACCGCGCCGAACATCCATCCCGCACTCACTCATAACACACAGGTGGCAATAAGGGTAGGATTCAGATAGATCAGGTAAATCTCGCAACGGTCCGCAATAATCGAAAAACTGTAAGAATTGTCAGAATTGAGTTAAGTAAATAGTACTGGGATAAATCCAATCGCGAATGACTCAAATAAAATTTCATCAAATATTAAATAATCGTTGGTTTTCTTTTCTTTTATCATTTTTAATTATTTTTCTTATTTCTTAATTCTATTATCGAAAATAATAAAAATAAACGTATTTTATCAAAAATAAATTCCGAGGGAATTCAATTAAATAGTGAAAATTCCTTTGTTTTTCCTTCTCTTATTATTTTTAGTTATTTCTTCTTAATTTTAATTCTGTCATTGGAATTAACAAAATTTGAGGCTCCATCTCCCCGTCGATAGGCTGATGTAGAAGAGTCGTGCCAAGGCCTACTCCCATATTACCGTCCCACGGCTAGCCATTTCGGAAATAGCCTCGGAGCGGGCGAAAAAGAGATGGGCGTCAGCGCGGTAGAAGCGGTAGTCCCTCTTGTCATTTTTGAGGGCTACTCTCAACGGTCAGCACCTCAAAAATTAGGGGTGTTCTAGGTTCCCCTAATTTTTTCGGTCAGGTCAAACAAGAGTATCAATAAAATCTTAATTGGGCGTTCGTTTGAGGGTCTAATTCCTTTTATTTCGGGTGGCCGACTGGATTTGGCCGCCCGACACCGTGTCCAGACGATCCGAACTCTCGATTCCACAAAATCTGCCAGTCCCTTGTCATCTATGGCTTCCGCTATCGTCCTCTCTGTAACCATACGTACTCCCTTCTTAAGTACCCTAGTGTCAAATAATAATTTCACGCATATTTTCTTCCGCACGCTGACCCCCGTTTTCTTGGTCAGCGCCCTGTCAATCTTCAATCGCAATCTGTGTTTAGTCTGTTTATCAGCGAACAATCCTGCTGTCCTATATAGCCCGATCAGTTTTCGTACTGACATGGTCGCTAGTTGTGAATCTGGTCTGGGCTTGCACAGGATCGCCCCTAGAAACGTTCTATTCCGTTCCGTAGTGGTCCTGGCCCGTACAATATCTATGACCCTGACTACTCCGCCTGACTGCAGGCTCGATTTTGCTTTTCACAAAGTCATCTTATTCCCCATTATCTCAAGCACCGTATCCCCAAACGCTCTCTTTAATCTTCGCCAGCTGTCAATCCACACCTCTCCACCTGAGCAATGCAGGTCTACCCCATCCCCCACCCCTTCCTCCGTCTGTCCTCTAAGCCAGGTGAGTAACGAGGTTACCTCCAATTCTCCGAACTTAAAGTTCACAACTTTATCAACTCGCATCTCCCTCCTTCTCCCTTTTCTTTCCCGTCTCCCCTTTCTTCTTCTTTCCTTAGTAGTTCTCTCCCTCTTCCCAATATCCCTGATGTTCAAGCACGGGCTAAAATCCGCAATTAGAAAACGTTCAAATTCAAAGTCATCCTTCTTGTTCACGTGCCTAATCGGTATAATGGTGTACTTTTCCACCCCGAACCTCCTTCACCAACGATACAAGTGTGGAGCAAGTCCCAGGGAATCACTCAACGTATTACGACAGTGCTCTCTCCATCTTTGTATAATCGGTCTAACCGTGCAACCGACATATACCTTCTTGGTCCAAGGGCTAGCAATTACATACACTCCCCCGGTGTCCAACTTCAACAGGTCGGTCAAACCTACTGATCTAATAATGTATTTATCTAGCCACAATATCTGTCCCTGTACTGCCAGAAGGAGCATACTCGACGTAATGGCACTCTCTACCCTTCTACCTACTTCGCCGGTAATCCCTTGTTCCCTCAGCTTTGTCCTCCAACCCAACCATCTACCGAGCTCCTCCCAAAGTTCAGCGTTTGATGGTGCCGTTAACCTTCAGTCTGATTCCTACGTCGGCTGTACTGGAGCCGATCGAATAATGGTTGGTTCTTGCCTCTTCGCCGGTCTCTCCACCAAAATTATATCCTTCACGAACTCTTTCCTTGGTGTCCCTGATGCCTTCGTCCTCATGGTGTCTTTCTCATTAGCTTGTGCGTCGTCGAATCCATTGTAGGCTAGTTGTGCCTGGTGTCTAGCTAGAATCTCCACAATCTCTGGCTTCTTGGTGTACTTAATTCCTCTCTGTTCACATATCTTCCTGAGCGCGTCCGCCTTTTTTGCTGAAAAGATCTTGTGTGCCGATATGCAATTCTCTATCAAGCCTTTCTGCGAACACCCTGCAGTCAACCCCTTAAAGCCTCCCGTCAGAGGTGTCTTAGGCTCTTCCTCATCAAGAGATTTCGCCCCCCGCATCTCCTCTTCCATTACCTGCGGTTGTTTCCGAGCCCTGGAACTTTCCCCTTTCTCGTACATCCTTATTGGTGTGCGCATCTCTTCGATCTTCCCCTTGTCCTTGTTGTTCTTCATCTTGGCCTTGGTCCTCTTGTTCCCAGTCCCTCGCCTCACGCGCTCCTTGTTCCGTGTGATCTTTCCACTCGTTTCAGATCCCGACGACATATCTTATGACGTGTTCTCGTCATCAGTGGAGCACGACGATTTCGAGTCCTCACTTGAATCACTACTCCTTTTCCTTCGAGCTCTCCGCCTCTTTGGTCCGCCATGTTCTGTCAGGTGCCTCTTCTTTTTCTTCCTCGTCTTCTTCGCCGATTTTCCACTCTTCTCCGTTGCTTTCACAGCGTCTGCCTGGTTTTTCCTCCATTCCTCAAAGAGTTCCGCACGCAGCTGCTGCTTAAACTCCTCCGCTTTCCTCGCGAAGTCTAAGTTTCTCCTGGTCTCCTCCTCTTCTCTGATTCTCTTCTCCTCTTCCTTTTTCCTCTTCTCCTCCTGTTCCAGTTTTTCTTTACGAGTCATCCTAAACTGCTCCTTGATCTCCTCCAGCTCCGGATCTACTTGTGATCCCCCCATGTTTCTCCCTTGCCTCGACCAGCAATCGCGCGCTATGTGTCCCAGCTTTCCGCAGTTGAAGCACGCGTTATTCCCTCCTCCCATTCTCCCACCCCCTCCTGCGTATCCTGTCGCACCCCCATATGCCTGTCCATTTCCAATTTGCTGACCGTTTGCAACCCCTTGTCCGCCACCTCCCGCTGGTCCAGTGGTCAGATACATTTTCGTCGTCAATCTATGCCTCGTATCCTACTTCCTTCTCGCGCTCCCGATCTCTGGTTTTCCGTACAAGCTCAAGCCCTTCTTCCGTACCCGCTACCGTATCATAAGCTCCAAACCTCCCAGATCCTCGTCTAGGTGAGTATCAAGGTCCTATTCTCTCCAAATATCGATGATCTCCCTATACTGGATCGTGCGTCTTGTTCGCAAAGCCAGCAGAGTCGTCTCGATCTTTATCAGCAAACTCATCAAACAATCGTACAGTCCGTTCCTCAAATTCTCGTTGTCAACAAAACCAATCATGAAGTGCATCGGCCGCACAGTATCCTCTACGTAATCCTCCAAAGCATGTATCAGTCTATAGATCGTACGGTCATAAAACGTCGTCCCCTACCACACGATCCCCCATAGCTAGCGCATGGGGTATCCATCATGTCACAAAACAGACCCAATCAATATCACACCCAGCCCACATAATATTATCCCAATCCCGTACCAGATATCTCTAATCTCTCTCCCCCTCATCTCCTCCCTTGCCCTTATCCGTCCTTTATCTATTCATAATGCTAAAAGATCCCCACCTATCGTGCCTCCGAATCCTTTCCACACGTTACCTCCGTGATCCTTTACAACCAGCCTATCATTACGTGCTCCACCCTTCGCTCGGAGCTATCCGCGTAAGCTCTTTCTAGCCTCCTCTCACCTCCTGTGATCCGCAGTTACTGCGGTCACGGTTTTACTCCTATGCCGTGTGCGCCCGTAAGCCCGACTCATACCAGAATCCTCTTTGAACCTAGCGCCCGTTACTCTCCAACCCATGTCCCGGCATGTTCATTCTCGACACCATCTCCGCTATCCGCATTATCAACGCGTATGTTAGGAAATTTACATATGTCCTATCAATAATTCATACTTAATACTCCCGAAACGACGTCAGAATCTGCCTCCCTATGTGTCCAAGTACATGCCCATCTCTCCTTCTATCCTACGAACGCGCTGGTACCCAAAACCCCGTGCTATTTCCACAGCCAGGAAGACCGGTATCCGTATTCCAAAAACGTTCGAAAATTTCCGCAAGATCGAAACGAAATAAATAAATAAATAAATAAACGAGACAGACAAAATGCTTCAGACAGAAATAACCAAAAAGGCTTCAAAACCCCGCGCCATCTGGCCTCTCAGTTCCCCATCATACCATGGCCCTGTGTACTGGTGCCTTAGTTATCACGGGCCCACCTTAAACCCCTCTTTCTTGCTTTTACCCACTCCGCTGATGCTCTCATGGCCGCCAACAGCGAGTGAAGTGCCTGTGTCGGCACAGCTTTGGTCAAATTGACCAAAGCAGAGAGAGAGAGAGAGAGAGAGAGAGAGAGAGAGAGAGAGAGAGAGAGAGAGAGAGAGAGAGAGAGAGGGGGGGGGGGGGGGGGCATGCTCAAACGCACCCGCTTGGGGCTGACTTCTGTGGGTTTTAGCACAAGACAATGAAATCGAAAAACGCTTTTTTTCTTTTTCTAATGCA